CTCAAGCTGTATTAGTGATCAACCCCTTGTCGGCTAGCTTTGTCATGGCCACAGATCAATCGGGCTCCTCACCTGCATCCATTTCACCAATGACGCTGGAGCCTTCATCAACAGCACCACCGACTGCCACACACAACTACCCGGCGTCCAGCTATTTCCTGCCGGGAAACCCGATGCCATACCTGCCGCCATCGGCCACACACCAGCCAGAACTACTTTTGCTCGCTTGGATGCTGGGCATCCTCAATACACTAGTGGCCGGCATCCAACATCACCCACTGGTTAGCGATCCAGTGCCACATCCCTCCTCTTTCACCGACCAGCATGCCCACAGACCCCACCCACAGCCCCGCAACACTCTCCGGCACCAGGGAAACACCACTGCAGACATCCAGCAGGGTATTAGCATTTTGCAGTTTTTGCCCGGCTCGCCTGGTTCTCCAGGTCACTATCGCATGGACCCAACAGCCAGCTTCCCACCCTCAGCCACCAACAACTTCCTCTCTACACCACTCTTAGCGCCCAAGTACGTTCCCACACCTCAGCCTCCACAACATCGCCTCATTAACCACTTGATTCAGCGCGACCGCTCACGTTCCAGAGACAGACAACATGGCGGGTGCCTTGGGAAATTATTCCAGGCATACCCTTACGTATTGGAATATGTTTGCTGGAATATTTTCTGGAATCTTTTTTCATGCAGGTATGCCATACCCCACCGTGGAGCTTGTCGTGGAATAATTGTTTAAGGTATAAATATGTTAAAGCGCTGTCCAAACTGAGCGATCATCTCAGAGGGATCCAGAGGGGTCCATACCAAATAGAGGTAAATTAATAAGTCGAATCAAAACAGTCGATATCAATCGATGTCGTCTTTTTGAATGCAGAAAGAAACTCTTGGACACAATAAGCTTTTGGATATGAGCTTGGGATGTTTGATTTTTGATTCAAAAACATATATAGAAATGGATCCAACAGATTTTGGCAGTACATTAGGTGAAGAGACTGGGGATTGGTCAGTTTACAAAATATATTCCATATGTAATCTAGAGGTCACATACTGCTGGAATATTTTGAGAGAGACTTGGATGTGTGTCAAGTTGTTTCTGTTCAAGATTGCACGCTGCTTCAAAGCTTTCCAAGAGTGATGTCGTGACACCTTGGACTATTTACCTAAACCTATAGGATTATTATGTTAAGATGCCAGAAATTATTCTAGGAGGTTCCCACCCTGTGGAATAATTATCCAAATCGATGTTCAACCCTCCAGGAATAATAGATAAATATTCCTGGAGGTATCGACGGTCTGAGGTATCTAAGGGACCCCCCATCAGACAACCCACCACCACTCCTTCTCCATCATTCCACAATCCCAATTTACACACCAGCACTCGCCAGCCACTTTCCGACATCACACATCTTCCACCTTCTTCCAGCCACCGCAGCCACCTTCACCAATCACTTTGGACAGCAACAACAACAACCTCAGACTCGACATCCTCTCTGCCTCCATCGTCCTGGACTATGACACCGCGGCGCGAGGCCGATGCCCATCTCACTTAGCATTTTACGTCTCACCACCAGGTTTTTGATTCTCGGCGCCCTCGATGACCGACAAAAAAGCTGACCAACATTCTTTCTTTCTCTTCCTTCCTGTTTTCTCCCTTCGCAACACCATGACCTTCAGCTTTCAGAGTGCTACTTCATTTGCCCGCAGCTGTTTGTTTTGCTCTATCATTTTGGTTCACCTGCCCAGCTTCCTCAATGGACCTGGATTCTCCAGATTGGGACCGCGGCCCCTCCATTGTTGGGGACGCAAAGGGCGATCCCTACATTACTGAAGATGTGAAGCAAGAAGAAATGAAGCAAGAGGAAGTCAAACAAGAAGAAGCTTCACCAACGGAACTTCCTCTCTGCAAACCTTTGGCCTCTCCAACCTGCCTTTCTTCACCGCCGCCGAAAACTCCACCAGTTCTACCCACACCTTATCGCAACCTCTCCACGCGTAATACATCACTACAGCAACATCCCACCTCGGCACAGACGCCTTCTGGCAGCAAACCACCACCACCGCGACCCCCACCCTCTACTTCGTCGTCCACCAGCAGCGAAGATCCAATCATTCTCACAACCACTGGGGAGAGAATTTGGCAGAGGCTGCAGAGAGCGAGACCTTGAGGAGGCTGGCAGAGGAGTCCGCCAAGAAGGAGAAAGAGGCCCGCCCGAGGGAAAGGAGTCGGAGGAAGCCGCCCTGCCGGGGGACGAGAAGAGGAGACCAAGAAGGTCGAGAGCAGTTCGAGTTCGAGCTCTTCGAAAAAGAAAAAGAACAGCAAAAAGAAGAAAAAGAAGAAGAAGAAGGCAAAGCGCTTCAAGGTGCAGGGTCGCAAGGAGCTCAGCAAGATCTACGAGTTCACCGGCTTAGATCCTGCGCTGAAGACTCGGAGGCGGGTCATGAGGCGAGCGCGAAAGGCTATGAGGCATCGCCCAAAGGAGGACAGCGGGAGCTCCTCGTGCTCAAGCACGGAAGGGAGCTCGATGGAGGAAGACACCGAGCACCTTTTCGAGGAGACCCACAAGATCCGCAGAGCCGCGACAAAAGGGCCAGGTGCGCTAGCAGCGTACACGATCTCCAACATGTCCCGATCGTTGTTGACGCAACAAGGCCTGCCAATCGAGGAGACCGAGGGCGCTGCACCGTGCATAGCATTGCAATACCACAAACAGGTGCTTATCACAGAGGTTGTCGCCACCGCTGGCGAGAGAATCTTTGAATCTATGTACGGCTACAGACGCGCTGCTGGGAGGCCAAGTGGCTCTAGCAGTGGACGTCCTGCTGCAACGCCTAAAGAGCATCGAAGCTTTGGGCGCAGGCCAATCGTGGGCGGCTTCTCAAAAACTCGATATAGCTCCTCAGGAGGGATCGCAGTTGGCCGCCATGGAGGAGAGCAACACGGGCTCAGAGAGGAGCTGAAGGACCACAAAGGAAAGGGGAAGAGAGACAAAGGAGGCAAAGAGGAGCAGAAAGGGAAAAGGGAGAAGGACAAATGAGGTCTCCTCCCCTGAAGATGAGTGAACAAGATATTGCGCCCGGTCAAAAGTCTATAATCAAAAAAAATCAAAAATATCAAAAAATTAGATGAAGGGGTCGAAAGTAGCTGATCATGTTGGTTTTTCAATTAGATTATGTAGCGGGCCCCCAGCTAAATATACCTATTCTGCGGCTGGGCGCTATAGGTTCGCGGTAGACCTGCGCTAGTGTTTAACAAGTCCAACTCCAATGTATGTTTTTTGTTCTGCTCTGATAACTAGCACCCTCTCCTTGCAGCTGGAACATGGTAGCGCATGATTGAGTGGATGAGTGTTTGAGTAACTGTGTATGCAAATATACCTCATCAGCATGACAGTGACCAATCTGCAGGTGCAAGCACAGTTTGCGCAAGTTTTTGCAACGGTAGCTGGTTGTTGTTGTTGTTGTTGTTGCTGTTGTTGTTGTTGTTGGAGTGGTGGAGTTGTTTGTGGAGTTTGCTGATCTAATGCAGCGCCTTGCTGCCCAAGCTTCTTTGTGTCAACATGCCTTTCCCTCCCTTGCCGCGTTCGTGTGGTGTCGGGCGATGCCTGGGCGACTTGACGCTCATTTCCCGCAATGGCTACCAGCAGCTCACGTGCAGCCAGGCCAAGCACCACCACCGTGCATGGCGTGTTCGCAATGCCGATGGTGTCCACTCATGGGAGTTCTCGACACGGGGAGTCAGCAACCTCAAAGGCACGGCAATTCCAGGCAACGATGATGAACATGCTATGGAAAACCAAGTAGACCAAGGAACCAGGGACCATGACGCGTCTTCCCAGGACGCTTTTGTGCCTTGTGTTGGCTTTTGCGTTTTGTTTGTGCTTTACGCTTGGCTTTGCTACATGTGCGCCCCCAGAGCCGGAAACGTCCAACAAAAACCAGATGTATCTGATGCATCTGTTTTTCAAGCACCGCGGTGTCAATAATGCGTCCTTCTTGGGGCGGCGTTATCCGCATTTTCTTGGCGCCGTTTGCTGAACAAGAAGAGCAAACAGAGCCGGAAACGTCCAAAAAAGAGATCGTGAGGTGCGATCGCAGGAGTTTTAAATCAGCTATGAAGTCTATCTTCTCTCTGGTGTGGCGGGAGAGGTAGACATAGCTGGAAACGATGTTTTCTTCCTACCAAAACATATCATATATACATATACACGTGTGTAGTACATTGTAATGCATTCACAATGTGTGTGTGCACATGAATATATATATATATATATCTACATATCATATGAGAATCATGTGTATGTACATCTCATTACCCAGGCGATGTCCGTGGGGTGTCAATTTGACCACAGGTCACAAAAGTTTATGAACTGTCCAACTCTCCGTTCTCCATGTTACCGCAGAAAATTTCCTCTCGTTCCTGCTTTCTCCCTGGGTTTGCTGGCTCACTCAGACCCCGTGACCCCTCGACAGTAGTTCCGGATCCCTACTACATTTGCCAATAATGAAATTTTCTCTACATGGCTGAGAGCTGCGCACTCCCCTTTTGTCCACCCCGCTCCCCAACTCAGTCTCTTGATTAAAACTACTGTGGAGTTGAGAGCCAATAATTATTGAGTGCAGTTTGGCACATGATCATGGCACCTTCATGATGCACGACTCGACTACAGCAACAAGTACGTTCACGGCATTTGCACCGCTGCTGGGCCTTTCTTACTGCACGTGACACAACCCAGCACTATTTATGAATTTCTCCCTTGGCCTCTTTGTGGTGAAAGCCAGCATGTTCATGCGTGTTCATATTCATCCGTTAGCGGGGGCATGGCCTGTGTATTTAGTTTCCTTTGAGTTTAGCAGCAAAAACGGTTAAATCGCGTACAGTAGAACAAAAGTCGTCCACTGTTGAAGGGTAAGGTCCACGAACCACGAACCACCATTTTTTAAAACATGGCGTTTTGCATCCGCATTTGTTCTGCCTTCCTGCTGTCAGTGTGATCCAAGCTCTTCAGACAAAGCCAGACATTGAGCAAGTGATCGACTTCATCAAACAGGCGCACAGGGAGCAAATAGCAGAAACATGCAGAAACACATAGCGGTGCCAAGTCGTCAAGTTGACTCTCATCTCACTACTCTCCGACTCCCGACCAGGTTGCAGCCCCATCTAGTGAAAGCATTGCTCTTTTCGCCAAGCGCCAACTTCTAGGCCAAAGGTGGTGTTTGTTGAAGACTGGCGAGCCATCCTGGCACACTTGACAAGGCAAGTGCGCATCTTGCGAAGCCCCCATAGATGTGGATTTGATGAGGGTGAAGCGGCCACAGCCAATCGGGTATCTTGGCATTGTAAGCAAGGTGAGAGCACTCTCTTCAAGCGCCGGATTCATCCGGATTCAATGAAGCTGTCTTTCGGGCTCTTGTTGGAGAGTGCAAAGCGAGCTGCAAAGTGCTTTCGTTGCAAGTGCATTCGACCCGAATGATAGCACTTCTAAGGTTGCAAGAGCCATGGCCGCCTGGCGAAAACCTGGGAGCCAAGGTCCCTTGGCAATCTTGGCTTTTGCTTGGAGTCTCCAGTCTACCGGTTTGTTCGATGTTTGATGTCTCTCGATTAATGATGCTTGTTAATGAAGAATTAGTTTACGTACTAGGATAATTTAATCATGGATAATCAACGTTGAATTTAGAGCCGACATGTGTGCAGTTCTCCATTCCTCATCCTGGCGGGAGGGGTAGGGGCCGGGAGCTACAGTGAGATTTGCAGCGCTTGACCTATTTGTCAGACCGCCTAAGCCACGCTTTTGTCAGATAATAAGACCCGGTTGTAAGAGCAGTATTGGAGTTCTACGACCGGACCCTCCTGATGTTCGTGCGATTTGAAAATGATCAAACCTTCTAGCCTGCAGACTGAAGACATCTCGATTGATCGCCTTCGACTCACTATTGGGTCGTTTGTCGCTCGTGGCTCAATCTATTACAGTAATCTATATATATAATATTCCATTCTGGATTCTATTCCTATGATTTCTGAAGCTTCCTTTGGTTTCAGATCAGGACTGTATTCAATTCATACTTAATTTAAAGACACAAAACTTAATCGCTGGTTTTAACTTGTCACAGTGTTAAACTTCACTAGACTCACCCAAGAAATTACACAGCAGCGCATCTTTTCCACCACTGCCGCTCTTTCTGAAACGCCTCAAGAAGTTCTTAAGTAGTGTGTGTAAGACTCGCTCTTGGATTTCTGTGGGTATGTGCGCAAATTGGCCCGGTGTGTTTTCCGGTTCGTAAATTATCCTTTGCCGAAACATAAGACAACTTGCAGACTGCCATCCAACCAATAAGAAACGACAATTTCAATCGCAATGTTCCTTGCTCCACACAGTTTTGGGATCAGGATGTCAACCTGTGCCATGTTTCAACTCAAGCCGCTATCGATGTGAAAGATCCGGCTCTCTGACACAGGAAGAGTGCTGCTTTTTGTTTGTCGCTGCTGGTTCAGGAAAGCTTGCCAGCTTGCTAAACCAAAATGTGGACTCGGTTCAAGTTCCACTGCAGTTGGCTAGCTCTCATTTTGTTGGTGCTGTTGGTGCTGGTATGTATGTACCGGTTGAATCTTCAACACGCGGTGGTAGTGCAGCACAAGTAGTGTTTATGCGATACATGTTTGTCGTTGATCTTGAGCACACTGTCACCAGGCTTCCGGGCAAGAAATTGTAATTCTTTGAGCTTCACAGATTCAGGTGGCAATCAGACCATTGAACGCCCCGTTGAGTCCAAGCTCATCTAGGCACGGAGGAGAAGCAGCGGTGCATCCGTGCAGATCCATCGGGCGGCCACCGTGCAGTTTGTTCAGGCTCCCAAAGATCGAGCCTCGCCACAGAGAGACCAAAAAGGGAATGAAGTGGGAGAGCCTGGTGTCTCACTTTCGTTTAAAAGTGCGGCGCAGCTTGAACGAATCGGACAATTCAGAGCAGACTGCCAGTATCCCGTATAATTTGGCTAGGCCGAGTGCTTCAACGCCTGAGCTTCGAAAGGAACAGGCAAGCTGTATCAGGAATTTTGTTTTAAACATGCTAAACGAGCAACAGCGATAGGCCCCCCCTCAAAGGCGATAACCATGAGGCCGCAGCTTTTCAATATCAGCTATGTTGAAAGCGTGGCTGGGGGCCTGAAGAAGCGATAGGTTTCCTCAAAACTCAAAAGCGATAACCTGGTGAGGAAACACCATGCCATCTTCGTTAACAAGAAGTTTTCGCAGACGCTCAGAAATCGCAATGGAAACAATTCTCAGATTGAGTTTTACAAGGTCAAACATGTGAACATTAGCACGGGCATTTGCTTTCTGCTATGTGACATCACTATTTCAGTGTTTCAATCATTTAGATTTGTTATATATATATAAGATATATATGTATGATCAAATGTGTATAAATATATATATAATTGGGCAGCAAGCTGGTGACAAAGGCGTCACTTGTTTTAGGTCGTTAGATGACAAGATAGTATTGGCATGGCCCATGGCCCATGGCATTGAATGATGTGCAACAAGTATCATGTGAGTTATGAGGGTGAAGGATTAGAATCATGATGAATCATGATCGTGATGAGGAGGGTTATGAGGAGGCGAAGGATTAGGTGCGGCTTGAAAGCCCTGTCAGACGTCCAGTCCATGCAGCGGAAGTGGTTGATATTGGTTGACCATACTTCCATCCTGTAGCTGTCAGTCCTTGGAGTCCTTGGACGGTTGCAGTTGTCTTTTGATTTTCATTTCTGCTCAGCTTGCTGGTGGGACAGTCAGCCCATCAGAACAACACTGCATCTACCCTGCAAGTTACATTGAATGCACTAGTATCAAGAATTTCATGGCCGGTTGGCCAGGTATACTCATTGGATTAGAGCTACCTCATCACGAACAACTCCTAACATTTGAACTGGTACTAAGTTGGAGCAGTGTGCGGCTGCTCTTGATGCATTCTCACCAAAGTTCCCTTGTACACCAATACCGGCTATACCACAGCATCATGTCTGGCCAAAATCCAGAGTTTGTGGTGGGATCCGTTTTCATTGGGAAGACTTCTATCCAGGAGCAATTTCTTTGCAAGAGGGTAGCCCGGTAACATCCTTTCTTTGGAGGGTCCTTGGAGTCCAGCCTAAGTCTGGGTTATTGACCGGCAGTTGACCAGATGGCATCATAATTTGTCCAGAACCTATTGACATAGAAAGAAAAAGGAATAAAGGAAGACAGGAAGGAAAACGAAAAGACCACGAAAGATTTGGTCCATAGGAAACAGGATAATATCTTCAAAGGGAAAGGTGCAGCCAGTGTTCTCGTTTGTGACAAGTCATCGATGCAAGGAGCCAGAATGAGCAAAACGGCTGAGCCTTCATAGCTTCCCTTAGCTTGTACTGGAGCACCACTAAGTGGTGCTCAGTCGTTTGGCTTTTTCAGCAGTTTCACCCTAGGGATTCACACTTGGAATGCGGTTAGACAAATTGTTGCAAGCTCATGGTCTAAGCTTTCCCACAACCCTCAAACTTGTCCGATTTCTTGGTTTCACCCCAAAAGCAGCCAAAGCTGACTGCTGCCAAGGTTTGATTTAGAAGGCATCATGGCCAATTTGGTTCGGCAATGTCCAAGCCACTTCAACCAAACAACTGTCCGTTGCAGATGAGATAGAATTTACAGCTGGCCACCTCTGTGTTCTACCACCTTACAGAATTTTACATGACATGGTTGACTTGTACTTTGGAACTGGCATGACACTTGCTGTGTGACATTCTGGATATGGTTTTAATTAGGTCGGTAATGTTTGAGTCCCTGAATGTCTTTGTCCTGAGATTCATTAAGGCTGCTTTCCCAGGTCGTTGTTGAGCTCTCCTCAAAGTTTTGTTTTTATTCACTCTCTTGAGTGCTATGTCATTTAGATCCATTTAGTGTCCATGTATATGAGTATGTAGTATGAGTCAGTCATTGATTCCTGGATGCACGGAAAACACATTATATAAACAAATATTGGCACGATTCTTATGCGTAAAACAGTATTGAAAAATGTTCGGCCCTCGAATCGCGGTTCAAGTTGGGACGGATTATTTAATGCATTTGAAGTCCCAGGCGCATTTGATGAATTGGAAAAAATGTGTTGAAAGTAGCAAGAAGCTACCAGGTGGAGCCATTACTTCTAGTAACAAGAAGCTACTAGTAGCAAGAAGCTACCAGGTGGAAATTACATTCATCAAATGAATTGGCCACTTTGAAGTCGAGTCAGTCAGCTCTCAGGATCGAAACTGTACCGCATCACTGTATGTCGGAGTCGCCCCCTGAAAGTGTTCATCGCCACATTGCAATCATTGAAATGACTGAAGCCTCAATTGGTCATGTTTCTCATGTTTTTTGCATTCAAAGCAGTTGCATGTAGCATGTGCGCTCTTCAAGGAATGGAGGAGTTGCAGGGTGAGGCTTGGTTATGTTTGTCGCTTGGTGGGAAGCCATACTGACGGGAGTTGTTGCTCTAGGAACAAGTGCTTGTGAATGCCAGCATCAAAGGCTGGGTGTCCACTCCAAGGAAAAAGGAAGTTTGAATCGTTGGGTCTTAGCAGCTACAAACGCTCAAATTCAAAGGTGTTGTTGTAAGAAGTGTTTATTTGTTCAAAGGAGTAAGGTAAAGCAAAGCATCGGTAGCAGATTCCAAAACCAAGTGATGAGCATAAGTTCAGCGTTGTTTAGTTCGATGTGTTCGATTTGTTCTCATGTTTGTATGTTTTGGAAGTCAAGACTGGAAAGGTGCACCAGTGGCTGTGCGCAAAGGTTTCGTTCAGAAGGCGAGGTGCCTTCAGACGTGGAATCCTCGTTGGAAAGTCAGAACTTGCAAGTCATGCCTCAAAAGGAGCGTAAGCCAAGCAGAGATGAATGAATAGAACAACTCATACAGTTTGTGGTGCCATAGAATCGCATCTTCAGTGGTTTTCCAAATGCAGCGAGCACGCAGTCGAATGCAGACCATGCCATCAGTGGACAAAACCTTTTGTTTGCTAGTAACAAGGATGCTACTAGGGGCTCCTGGCATCGCTACTAGTAACAAGGGCATTACTACTAGGAACAAGAAGCTAGTAGAAACAATATATAAATTAGAATTTAATTGGAATCAAATAAAAATTAGTAACAATAAGCTACTAGGAACAAGTGCATCGCTTCTAGTAACAAGTGCCTTACTAGTAGTAACAAGAAGCTATTAGAATCAAATTAAGATTAGTAAAGAAGGCTACTAGGACATTTTGTTTAGACAAAACCTTTGAACACATTGTCCCGACTTTTTGAGCATTGGATTGTCCACTCCTAGAACCTGAGCATGGTTTGTCTCTCTAAAGCAGTCATGGACCATGGCCGCAATTGTTTTGTACCTGCCTTGCTTGCAGCCTGTTGCACACATGTGATCCTCACTTGACTTCCTGCCGTGCACTTGTCAACTTGGATGTCTCATTTCATTGCGTGCTATCGGAAATGCCACCTCACGCCGCATGAAATGGCATACCACTTCAGCTGGTTCAAAGTAGCATGCCGCTTGAAACGGCAGGAAGTCTTGCGAGGGAGCATCAGGAAAGGTGTCATGTCAAGCGCTACGTTGTGTCTTGAAGTGGCATCAAGTAGCTAATACTTTTCGCTGCAACCTTTCATTCGATACCCTCTACACGATAGTCTCCACATCATGCACTCCCATTCCATACCCTACGCTTTGCTCTTCTCCACTGCACTCTTCAATACCCTGCACTCCGCACCCCATTTTGTCAAAAGGGTGTCAAAGGTAAAGTCTGACCATGACCATACTGTTGATGGTCACACTGTCAATATCTGTCAATCTTTTGACCCTAGTTGGCGGGAGTGCGCAGCTTTTTCTCCCAAGAACGCAAAAGAATGCAAAAGAAATGTCAGAAGCCACCAAGAGCAACCAGAAGCCATCAGAAGCCATTCAAGCCCTCACAAAATACCAAGATACAACTTGCAGCAGAAGCCTGCACAGTCTGCACAGTGAAACAATTTTTCGCTGGCCCACTCAAATTCAAGCAATCGTGTTTTGCTTATGTTCATGTCAATTCTAAATTCTATAAGTGTGAAGATTAGGAATCGGAAACAACGACTGGGTTAGTTCAATCCATTTCATTCAGCTCACCGGCCGCCAGCAGCCAGCAGCAGTGAAACGGTTGTTCTTGTGACAGCAAGATCGCCCATGGGTTGAAGTCAGCCCAAATTGAACCAAGAGACCGTGTGATTCGACTCCCGCCCGAAGTTTCAATCAGAACTGACTGTTCACTTGAATTGCATTCAAGTTGGATTTGAGTTCAATTTAAGTGAGCTCGGATAGTGCCGAAGTCAACTAGACATTTGCTTGACTGCATCGGAATGGGTCATAGTAAATCGATATTTGAGGTTTGATTTCAAATTTGGTTATTTGGCAATAACTTGAACTGACTTTACTATATTGAACTCGCTTTGTCACATTTGAGTTTGACATAGTTTGACTGACTTCAACACTAGTTGAGGTGCGAGCACTTGAAAGAGTTCATATCATTTTAATATTGTATCATATTGTATCTATTTTCATGATGATTGCTCATTTGGTCATAGCCACGACGCAATATCTGGTTGACCGTGTGCACACATGGTGACTTAATTAACCACTTAACCACGGTTTACGGGAAGAGTATGTGTCGAAAGTGGTCCTTTTGCTGCAAGGATGAAAAGATGTTGAAAACTAGACTCAAAATGGATTAGACTCTTGCAACCTTTGTTAGCTGTTAGTAGATGCTAAAATCCGATTGAGCTGAGAGGCAGTGTCGACGCATGAAAGCGCATTAAGCTCAACAGAATTAAGGCAGGTAATTCTAGCAAGTTTTCTCAATGGCGTCGTATTGCAACCAATTTTGCCGTTTCAGACATGCCAAAGTTCCTTTCCGGTGCCACTTATTTGCACCCTGTCTCAGCCAAGTACTCGCAACAAAACGAGTGCTCCAATTATCTTGCAAATGTGAATCCGTTTTGTGACGCACTCACGTTTACGATATTTTTTCTTAGGCTTTCAGCCGCCCCGTTTGATTTGATGCCTAAATTTCTCTCATCGCACTTTTTTGAGGATGCCGTGTTCGGGGATATAAATGCATATATATATATATTTATACTGTATATACACATGATATGCATTACAGTAAGCTTTTTCCGTAGATATATACACTACGTTCAGATGTCCTGTATATAAATCTCCAGTTTCAAGGGATGGAGGGATGTGCTGGGATGGGCTGTTCAGGTGGCACATGCACACCACAACCATCCACAACCACAACTGATCTGCAAAATAGTGCCCAAAAGTAATTTGATCAACGGTTTGTGTCAGGCCGCCAGCCTTGGTTCAAACGTATAGTTTGGGCTTGTTCAAGCAAAAGAAGAGCATCACTGATCCTACATCAATCAAGTGACAAAAACCTTCATTTGCCAAATTGACGTGGTCGAGCAGCAGGAGCAGCCTTGCCTGGACAAAGCCTTGGAAACATCGAAAACATAATCTGACAGTCATAAAGTCAAAGCAACAATTAGTCCAGCCGCTCAAAAACAGCAGTATAAAGATGAACACTGAGAACGAACCAAGAACCTAAGTTCGTTCACGGGAAGCTCAGTGTCGCAACCACATTCCACATGAATTGGGATCGATTTCTCATGTCGCAACAGGTTTATGGCATCCTCACGATGCAGTTGGCCCTCACTGTGCAGTACCAAGAATCACCGTGGGCTTTAGGTGATTTGTACACACCGATTGTGTGGAGCAGCCTTTTGCTCACAGGTCCTGATAGCAACGGAAATTGTTCTTCTTGCTGGTGCATCAGGAGCAGCCAATTCAGAGAAGAATTGGTTAGTATTGGTTAGTTAATTGCTATGTTGCACTTGTTTGATCAATCATGTTGAGAGGCGATGTTGCTGCTTGGATCACGAGACATGAATGGCTCCTTTGGGTTTCAGCAGCTGCCCTACTTTTTTGAGCAAACATGGATGGCTATGGCAGTCCACCACAGCACGGTAGCTTTGCAATGTCATGCTTCATTGAACTTCATTGCCTAAAGCATCGAACCTGAGGTTTTTGGAACCTTTTCCGTAATGTGTTGTATGCTATGCTGCAGAGACCTCATGAGGACGTTGTCCAGTCCTGCGTGGACAAGATTTGGACAAGTGCATTCGGCGCAGGAGATTCCCAACGAACTACATTTTCCTGTTCACCTTCACTGCCTTTGAGGCAATCCTTATAGGCTTGGTTAGCACAGTTGGGGAGCCCGATGCCTTTCTCTCTTGTTAGACTGAGTCTCAATTTGAACACCTTTGTCCTTGACTTAGATGTTTACTCCTCAGAGTTTGCTCCTGGCTGCTGGTGTCACCACTTTGATCTTCTTGGCCCTTGACTCAGCATTCATTAGAAAGGTCCTTAGGTCAACTTAGGTTCCTGTTTGAATGGCTGAGGCACTGACGGTGTATGCAATGCAGGCCTCAAAGAACTGCAGCGCTTAGTTATCGCAGGGCATTTCAGGCATTGTGGGCTGAAAGGCTGAGAGCTGTAATAATATGACGTGTCATGTAAACACATGTTCCAATTTGTTCTAGACATTTCTACACCTATGCAATGCTTTTGATTCGATGTCATTTCTTTAGATGCCGTGGTTGCAGCTTCCACATGGAAGACAGCATGGGACGATGCTGTGAATGACAGGGACAAACGACACGGAAAACTATAGCTGTGCTGCTTTTACAAAAACAAGAGACAAGAGGTCACTTTTTGCACCGTCCAGAGATCCCCGTTCTTTGGTCACCTTGGTCTTGCGACGTTGGTGACGTTGGCTGATGGCAGATGGCAGGCGAATACCGACTTCACAGGTTCTGCGTGGCCGTCTTATGATAACGTTGCTTTCAATCAAACTTGCACGCCTTTTTCTACAGAATGGGACCTATGACCTATTGTGAAACTTCCAGCCCTTTAGGTCATGTCAGTTGTGTGCATTCGAGCATGTCGAACGCCGCCTGGTCCGAACCTTCGCACTTCCCTTGAGTTGGCCACCTGAGCCTTACTTTTCGCTTCTGCGTGAACATGTGCGGCCGCTACTTCGCTTCTTCGCTTTTCGCAGAGCTTTGAAATCCAGAGTGCTCGAAGCACGCACTACTGTGAGTCGTGAGTTGGTAGCGGAGCCCTTTGTCCGCGACTTCATTCCGCTGGAGGCCCCAGGACCATGGACTTCTCGGACTTGCCCAACACCGATGACAGCGTGTTCGATGAGGACACCTTCGGTGACTATGGCGAGCCTAGGCGAGCCCAGCACCTACACCTTTGAGGATGAGCAGGTCCCTGACTCCTCCGATGCACACGCAGAATGGTTGGACTTGGAGCGCCTCCGAGAGCTCAGATGGCGCTATGCCAGGGTTGACACCTCTGGATCCCGCTGAGCTTTGGTTTTGCACTTCATGCCATTCCGGCAACCCCTTGCCGACAAGGACAGGTTGGATTTGCTACTCATGTGGCTGCACCACCTTCTACATGCAACATGGAAGCTGGGCGTTCATGGTGCAAGCACTTCACCACCTCCTGGACCTGGACCTCGACCGAGCCCCGTGCCTGGTAGAGCGCCTACAGCCCGGTCGAGCCCTACATCCGGAAGAGGCCTTCTACCAAGCATGGCGATCCAGGACCACCTTCAGAATATGATGCCCTGTCATCGATCCCCCTCGACGCCGCCAACTGCAAAGGCATCGAAGACAGAGGCTCGCAGCCCAGCATGCGCATCGTGACCTACCAACTCCACATGATCCTGCAACGCGAGTTGATGATCCTCCACTCACAGGACCTGTTGACCCACCATCTCATGGACCTCGAGGACCACCTGCAGAACCTCGAGACACTGTTCCTCGCGCCCCTCAATTACCAGTTCATGGCGGCGCTGATGTTGGCAAGGGCCCTAGTGGAAAAGGCCCTGGCAAAGGACCTCCCAATGGCAAAGGTCCGCAACTTGGCAAAGATGGACGCCGACCATCTGATGGTGATGCAAGTTCGAAGAATGCTGCGTGACGCGACAAGATGTTGACCGAGCTCTCCAAGCCCAAGGAAGAGAAGCCATGGAGCAAGCATCAAGAAAGGCCCTGAGCCTGGCATCAAGTCAATTACTGTGGAGGTACGCCTCCGGCTCCACCTCAGCGGAGCTATGCAAAAGGTGATCTCCAAGCCTTTCAGCGCTGGGAAAGAAAGTTCACCATACCGTCTGGCAAAAGCCATGTGTCTGCATCTGTCAATCAAAACAACATGCGCAAGCGTAATTGCCAAACACACACCGATATGCAACTGTGTACGATTGCTGCCGTGGAATCGCGCGGGCTCAGTTTTTGCAACCGTGTGCGTGTTGGCTGTAGGCCCGTAAGCAGTCTGAACTAATAAACCGCCCGCGTTTGAATCCCTGGCCCAGAAATCACAGCGCACGCTCAGTGCACGCCCAGTGCACGCTCAGTGCACGGCCCCAGTGCACGGCCCCAAAACCATGAAAATTAGCAGCAAATCGCCGCTGCATCTCTGAAAGCGAAAAAAGTTTGGAAAAATTCACTTTTTATGTTTTTTTGATGCCGTTAGCGCCAAACGCTGCTATTTACAGGGAAGTGGCTGCGTGCACTGGGGCGTGCACTGAGGCGTGCACTGTGCGTGCACTGAGCGTGCACTGTGCAAGACACAGCACCCACCCCAAAAGAGGAGGTCCATTGGTGACCTGAAGGCCTGAAGGCTTTTTCTTTCAGCAGGCCGCTCCCACAGAGCCATCAGCGCTTACACCAATGGGGACACTGCTTTACACAGATGAACCTGCGTCTTGCTTTGTGACCACAATGATGCGCAATTTCTGGCATGCCAAATTAAAGGCCAAAGCTCTCTCGCTTGAAAATGCAAAATGACTCCTGTGCTGCGTGTTTGGCTGTTTATAGCCGCAACAGTTATGTCTGCTCAGCTGATGCACGACTCCCCAAGGAGTACTGTTGATGGACAAAATCCTGCACCAGTAGACGAACACACTCATGTATACCCTCGCGCTCCCTCTTTAACATTGAGTTGAGGAATTGCCTGAAACAGAAAAAAGTTGAATGACCAAAATCCTGCATCACACAAAGCAAATATTGAGACAACATTGAGTTGGGGGGCACGGGGGTCGTTACTATTGGAGGACCTCATGTGTTGCTTTATCGATGCAGGATTTCGTCCATCAACCGTATGGCTCAATCAGATTTCTTACCCACCGAACGAGATCGCCATGACCCTCTTTGTGTCTCTCAAGGGAGAAGAAGAACTCGAGTTCTGCGACTTGGCTCGAGTCGACGACGCCAACGGAGTGGACTACATCATCGAGACCCTGAGGCAACCACTCATGGTCAAAGGCATCTACCTCAAGCGCAAGTACTTGGACGAGTTCGAACATCTTCAACGCAAAGTGGCGAGGGTGTGAAGTCCTTCTGCAACCGCTACCACCGGGCGGAGCGCTCACTCTCCACGGTGGGCGTGAACACAGGCCATGTATGACGATGAGGCCGCTGGAAGTCAACTTTTGGACCGGCTTCGCCTTGACTTGAAGCTCAACGATGAATGAACGAATGATCCTGGTGGCACCTGGTCAATCCCTCAGCTACCAGCACATCAAGGATGCTGCAGAGCTCCAGTTCCCTGAGCACCGGCCAACACCTCCTGTGGTCTACGCCCGGTGTTTTGAGAACGCCAAGGATGACAAGCAGGATGGACCAAAGAATGACTGCAAGCCTTGCTGGCTATCGCTCTGATGGCCACAAAGGCAACCCTAAGCATCCTAGATTGAAAAAATTCAATCGAGATTGAATTTTTCAATCGAAGATTGAATTTGTTCAAAAATCAATCGAAAAAACAATCTTTTCACACCTTTAAAATTCAATCGAAAATTCAATCGTTTTTAAAAGGTTTTTTGTGGTTGCATCAGGGCTATCCAGCCCACATGCTCCTATCTATTTACATGGGGCTATCCAGCCCAAACCACAGTGCATGCATGTTGGTTATCAGACCAATCTTCCTGCTAGGGATCCTATAGCCATGGTGCTATCCAGCCCAATCTCAGACTAGGTTATCAGCCCTAAAAATAGGTACCCAGCTTCCGATGATGTCCTGGGACTGTCCAGCTCTAGATGAAATTTTTACTCCTCATCCATGGCTTCCATCTCCATAGTGATGTGACCCTCCAAAAAGAGGCGAAACACTAGCCTGAACTTCTCTAAGATCTTCAGTGGCACTTTGTGCCCTGGTGTCCCCCTGGTACAAGAGGACCCCATGCGCACACATATATGCCCATGAAAGATTCTGATCCATAAGTGTGGGCCAATGAAGGGTGGACATATTCACCCACAGTAGTGCTCAAATGGCAGAGGAGGTGGTGTTTTTGCACCAAGCTGTACAAATTCCTGCCTGCATGCATGCTGTCCTCTGCCAGCCAACTGTAATGGCTTAGGAAGGTGCACATGGCCACCTGGAAATCTTTCTTTGCCTCCCCATCCCACTCTTGCCATGTCTTCCCCAAAATCTTGTAGGCCTTGTCCAGGGCCACCACCATTGCCAGCCTGTGCTTTCCATGCCTGTCCTCCTGGTACATTTTGCAAAGGGCCACACATACTGGCGAAAAAGCTCTGACCTTGGCATGCTTCAGGCATGGATAAGAATCACCACCACCCCCTAAATCAGCCATGGTGAGGTGCTTCATTCTGTTGGAGGCAGGCACACCCTGGTCATCATACAACCTGATCAAGAGCCTGTTCAAGCTCAACAGGTTTGCTTCTCCTGGGCAGGATGTCTCAAATCGGCAGGATGTCTCAAATCTAGGCTGTCCAGCCCAAGTGTTACACGGGGCTTTCCAGCCCAAGTGTGACATTGGGCTGCCCAACCCAAGGGGCGCTTGTCAAAAAAAACACTTCAAACATGCTGAGGCTCTGTTGGTGCCAGGCAACTGGTTGAGAATGCTCCACAGAACACACAGACCTGGATGATAGCATGCACGTAGGCTTGGCACATTGATCAAAGGTTTGATTGCTTTCATTCAGAAAAACACTGAAAACAAAGAGCACTCACAAATGATGCTTGTCAAATGCAAGCATCCTCAAAGACAAGACCTGGAGGCTGTCTATCTCAGTATATGGGGCCCCATCCCCATGCAACACATAGGGCACTGGAAGCTGAGAAGGCTTTGTGAAGTCGAGGCTCCTCCACATGTCACTCGACATTTGAGGATTCTGCTTTTGGGTCTTCCAAAACTGAACCAAGTCATTGTCTTTGCACATCACCTTTTCAAAGAGGTCACCCTCTTCAAAGGATAGCGCCCAACTGTGAGGCAGCAGAACATGGCACTCTGTAGTTTTTGACACCCTTTGACCATCCTCCTTCATCAGCATATTGGTGGTGATCTTCCAGGGAGCTGGTGCAACTAATTTGTGAAAATATTTCCTCTGTAAATCCCTGTGGATATTTCCTGGGATTGCCCCCATAGAGCCTCTGGAGAGCTTGCATTTCAGGGGCATCCAAGCAGCTGAGGCAAACTCCTGAACTTCAACTGCTGATAGCTTGCCTAAGGCATACTTCCTCAGCAGAAGTGTCCACAAGGGGTATGGCTCAAGACCTTCCATTTTTCCACCTTCCAGCCCAGCCAAAAGGCTTAAGGCAGCAGAACCACTGTAGCTAAGCTTTCAGCGCTTTGGCCAACTGGAGTTTCTTGGCCTTGCAGTCTTTCAAGGCAGCCAAAGCTTCTGAGGGACCAGATGCGACACTGCTCTTTCCACTTTTACTTGCCAGCAGGTTAGTGACCACTTTCAATGCCTTTTTTGCTTGTTCTTGGGTTACCAGCACATGGG